GATCCGTGTCGGCAAAGTATCCACTCCCGGCGGTCCACCCATCACGTCAAGCGCACCACGACTATCCGATTCCCCTACGACCCTGCCAAGCCATCGAGACGGAGATCCTCAAGGATGCGGGGAGAAGACCACAAAACGACTCTCTGACCTCTCAGCCAACCCGTGTTTCCCCTGGTTCATCGCCGCGATCGCGGCAGTCAGTTTTCTCGCTACATCGGTAGCTCTCAACTTCGTGTTGTGTTGCAAGCGAAACACCGTGCGAATCGGAGACGTGGAGATGCAACGAAACCAAGACACTCCTCGAGATGCTTTTGTTGAAAACAAGAGACGAAATCTAAGACTGAACGGGATTGACAATCGTTGGTTTGTTAGGGAACCTTTGACTGATGTATGGATATGACATCAACAAGGATTTATCTCTTTTAAGCAAACAAAGTGTACATTTGTAGAAAGTTACAACTTTAAACTATCTTTTCAATTTTATGAAGAAAACAATTTCAATTTGTATATAAGCGCCTCTTCACAATTTCCCATTTAAAGTTATCATTGCACTGGAAGAAGTTCCTATTTAAAATACGACCAAGGAGAATGCACTTAATTGACACGTCTTTCAAACAGTCCAAACTCAACACAACACGAGGGCCTTGATATTGAACTCTCATTTTAAGTTCCCATTCTTTTGTAGTAGTAACATTTATTTCAAGATGTCATTCATTACAATTATTATTTATATGTACAAACACGTATACTTTAGAAAAAGTCACTAGTATAATATTTGATAGTTATGTACACAGTGATTAATTATAAAGTGTGAAATTAAATGACAACATTTAGGTATAAGGTTAAGCAGAACGCTTGTGTGCCCTTACCTATGAACAAACATACGATCAAGGGACAAACAAAACAATACGTGAGACAGACAGGACAAGAGTGAGACAAGGCCTAAATATTAATTCACAAAATAATGGAATTTCAATTTATGAATATGATTCGAGAAAATGAGTTTTTTAAATTTTTGACAAAGACAGATAGTGAAGAGGTAAAGGAGTAGGGACAACGAAAATTGAAAAATAACCTTTCGTTAAAAAGAGGTGAATTTTAGTTCCTTCCTGAGGTATGGATTATGGAGCTCATCTCCTTGGCTTTGAATTTGTTTGGTATGGTTGGATGTCTGTACCGCTTAATGTTAAAAGCGTGACTCAATATTATTTTGTGAATATAAATAATAGTGTTTAGAGTTCTGACGTATGCAAGGTCAAGGAACATTCCAGCTGCATAATACTTTTTTTTAGGTTAGGCGTTAGTTTGATCAGCTTAATGATTTAAAAATGATTTTAGCAATAGACTTTGCCCACCGTTGGGATGTGAAAATAATGAGGATATGGTTAAGAAAATAAAATTTTGTCTTTGATTCGTTAAATTGGATTGTCTTGCAATCTTAATATTAATTTTGTCTTTTTCCTAAATCACTTTTTCTACGGTGTGAGTAAAAAAAAGATACCTAAATGGCAGGACCATTTTCTTAAAAAAAGTTCTGGAATATGAAAGCCCAATTAACAAGTTTTGTTTGAGTGCAAGAATCATTCAAGGGGCGTGGCCAACTCGCAAGCGGCGATAGGACAATTGTCACACAGGTCACTTTCTTTTTGACTCATCACTCTGTATTCTATTCCTACAACCATAAATGTGGGTCACTCGGCCCTCTCATGACGGAGAGAAAAGTTTATTGTCCCGTCAATGCTTCACTACCGCTTAAAGTGTGGTTTTTATTGACTTTGTTAAAAGGGGACCGATTTGAAGTGTTATTTGGAATGCTTTGAATTCTTTCCATGAAATTTGACCTTGAAATCTGAAGGTCTATAAAAACAATTACTAGAACATGACCAATTATAGGCTTGCTGTATAAATATTTCTGTTATCATCATGAGCAAATATATCTTTTCCGTGCAATACGCTGTCTACAAGTTGCCTCGCAAACGGTCGAATATTGATGACTGAGACGAAAGATTTTTAGGTCAGGTTTTATGTCGCTTAAAATTATCGTGCCTTGGACCTAAAGCGCATCAATCGACTCTTTTCTTTGGTTCCCCCCCCCCCCCCCCTGTGGATAATAACATAAAATTGCATCGGACGCAATATTCCCTTTAAATTCCGGGAACTTCGGAGCGCGCTTCTTGGCTACCCATGCGACCCAATCGAAGCGAAGTCGAGTGAGTTTTAAGAAATGTGCGGTGTTCGCGCAATCGATGTTCTTGGAAATTGATGTGAAAACTGAAAAGCCAACTCTAGTCTAGACAATAGGAAGTATGAAACTTTATATACAATCACTTCTACTTACACTGCAAAAATTGGAGTGTTAATTTACACCATTGGTATCTATATAGTACCATCTGGTGTTAAATGTTACTGGTGTTGTCCTATATAGATACCGAATGGTGTTAAATTAACACTAGTTTTTACAGTGTACCAATGTAGCAGAGGTCGATCTTCCACATCAACTACCACTGATTACACAAGCATTGCAAGACAACACTTGTTGAGTCTTCCCAAACTGAATCTCTTCGTCTGTTTCATACCTCCCTTACCTCTCTTCTCCTACTCACACTCTTGCCTCAATTTCTCCCGAGCAACGCACGTCTTACCAACTGGCTGGTCTATTTCATCGCGGCCGGTGCCTTATTAATAATTCCCCTTGTCATCTTGGACGTGCTTGAAGATGATGCACATGAGAAGATTCACTGGACTCTGGCAACGGACGCATAGACGGCCAAACAGCAACATGAAAAGCACACTGGGCAGAAGAGGGTACCGGTAATTGTGTGCAACTCGAATGGCTGTTTCTACAAGAAAGGCCTACATGTACACCGTGACGTTCCGTAATTACAAGTTACTTGTCTGGTGCTGAATTCGTTAAGCATAGACAAGTCACTATAAGCACATTAACGGGATATTTATGTACTCCGTTTATTCGTTCTTGTTTTGTTTTGTCTCTTAATGTCCCATTCATTTAATTTTGTCCATTATCAATCGTTATATCCTGATAACAGTAAGTCAATAAACATTCTGGGGTATTTTAGAATTATTCTTTATTCCAATACACATTTTCTCAAACTTCAATTGAAAGAAATTCCCTTTTCTAGGATGTGAACTAGAAATTAAGCCACCTGCTGCGATTTGCTGAGCTTGTACAATGTACATGTACCTCAGCTCCTGAGACTATCAAACACTACACACATGCGCAGCAAACAGATATTTACAATCTTTGTTTCTATAATTTCAATGTGAACATCTTGTAAGAATCAATCGCGCTGTGCAGACTGGCTGTGATGTCATTCGATAGGATCACCCTTCAAGTTCATTGGGTCGTCCCGGTGGGGCTTGATGGGTCACACCGTTGCCATAGCGACGCGTCTCCCAGTCGCGTTAAAGGAACGCGAGCTCGCAACCTTGCTACTGCCGGAAGATTTACAGTCTGGGAAACACTTGATCATCTGCAGTACAGGCCTACGTATCGATATCTTTGGAGAAATGCCAATTTTAGGTTGGTATCAGCCTGTGTTGGTGAATTTGGTGGAAATGTTTGTCCCCAAAACAAGATCTTGACGTTGCTGTCTTCAGTTATAACATGAAGGGGGAAAAGTACATATAAAAAGTGATGTTTATGTCATTACCGTTTGTCATTGTCATTTTAATTAAAACTTAAACGTTCGTGCTCTATGGTTAAAGTAACATATTCAGCAGCTGGCATTTTGAAAACATGAGAAGCCAAAGGTATTTTTTTAAGTTGTATATATTTCTTCTTTCTTTAGTTGAACTTGAGGTATAGCCTTGAACTTTTCTTGTAATTTACTTAATTCGTGGAAGCCTGTTTAGCACAGCGGTCCCATGTACTCACTTCTCGATAATGTTGACACAATAGAACAGGCGATTATTATGAAACCTCATTCTACAGTTAGTCGAATAACACCCCATGTCTCATGGTGACCCAATTATAGTGGTGTTGGGAAGAAACAAAGAAACGTATTATTTCGCACTGTTGTTGTTGTTGTTGTTGTTGTTGTTGTCGTTGGTGTTGGTGTTGGTGTTGGTGTTGGTGTTGGTGTTGGTGTTGGTGTTGGTGTTGGTGTTGGTGTTGGTGTTGGTGTTGGTGTTGGTGTTGGTGTTGGTGTTGGTGTTGGTGTTGGTGTTGGTGTTGGTGTTGGTGTTGGTGTTGGTGTTGGTGGGTTTTTTTTGGGGGGTGTCCTAAATGTAATACTAGTCCTTTACTTTAATTAAATATGTATGACGCTAGGAAAGAGACCAATGAAAAGTCAATGATACAATATTTTGTGATGAAGACTTCAGGTGTTTGAGAGAATGAAGTTCAGAGTCATGTACGGAACATGATCGATCACACTATCTTGGTACATTCCCGGCCCCATTTTAATGGCGAAATCATGATTGTACGAGCTATACTACAAAACAACTGCCCCTGTTCATGCTACTTATGTAAACATGACTAAATTGCAGAGAACAATTTTTCATGATGAATACAATATAAAACAATTAATCAAATCATGAAAAACAATATCATGAGAAAATAACGACAGTGACAAGACAAGTAAATAAACATTTTTTTTACACATCTGACTCATTTTTGATATCCGGAAGATAGGGTAAAATAGGATAAAGATTTAAATGCATATAATTTATAGGATCACTTTTGCTTTTCATGCATTTTCTTCGTTCCCAACACTTCACAAAGTCCAGAGGAACGTTTTGGGCCAACCTAAACAGTTTTGTTTATGTCTAAAAATCAGTCAATGTATTAAATGATCTTTGGGAAAAGCACCTACATTTTTGTATTAGTCTTAAAATAATAGCAATCCAGTGTTTAGTACCAGTACGATCTTTAATCCAAGTATAAAGCTTGTTCATAAAAATATATGTAGGTTAATTTTGGAATAAATGCAAATGATCCAACATGGTCTGTAACTAAACAAAAAACAATTTGACAGAAGTACATAAAGTTACTGTGTTCCGTTCATACTATTCATGTTACGAACACGATTACCGATGAACGAACCGAAAAATAGACAATGTTAAGTTTCAACCCAATCAGACAATCTGTTGAAAGTTATAATTTGCTTTTCAATTTTGATGTTTTACAAATGATGAATAATACGATGAACATTTCACCACCATAGACTCTATGCGTAGCAACCATCTTAGAGGACAATGGCTATGTTTTGCTACAGCGATTTGCATGAACGGGCCTTTTGTGCCTTCATTGTTATAACAAATAATGCCCTCTAAAATGGTCGCTACATGACGTCTATTCTTGGAGGAAGTTCAAAGGCTACCAGACTTTGCATTTGACGTCCGGGTTCATATAGCTTCCAGCCGGACAGTTGAATGCAGCGCTGAACGCCTCATTGTTTTGAAGCGCACCGATGACTCTGTCAGCGGACGAGAAAGATAAGGCGAGATGGAGTTATCTTCTTTTTTTTAAAGGACTTGTATAGAAATGGTTGATTACGGTTGATTTAATGCACTATAGAATTGATACATTTTTAAGATAAAGTTATCCCTTTTTATTTGGTATAGGCCTATACATGTACTTGTATCAGAAAAGTGCTGCCACGTTATTCACGTTTTCGGTTTGAAGTTCGATTTGCCAAAGTGACTTTTTTTTTCTCTCTTTGCTTGAACTTTTAAACCTGAGAGTGTTCTCACAAAATAACTGTTTAAAGCTGCGCCAGTTGAGCTCTTTCTTTCAATAGTCTGGTATATTATGTCAAACAAATACTGACACATAATTTCTTGATTATGACATGTGCACAGGGGCGGATCCAGGAATTTTCGCCGGGGGGGGGGGGGTTCATCTACACAAAAATCAGAAAATGTACACAGGTTTTTTTCTCCGGACACTTGGCCTCCGTAGAATCAAAAACCTGGGAGGGGGGGGGCGCTGTTCAAATGCGACAATTGTTAACACTAGATTACAGAATGGTGTACCGTATTTTGAACAGGCGGACATTATACCAGTATAATTCTTTTTTTTGGGGGGGGGGGTGTCACAGCAGGGGGGGGGGGGGTTCGACTTATTTTTTTATGAATTTGAATATTTTTTTTTGACAGAGCTGGGGGGGTTGACTCCCCCCCCCCCCCCCCCCCCCCCCCCCCCCCCCCCCCCCCCCCCCCCTCTGGATCCGCGCCTGGTACAAATCCTTGAATTTAGAGAGCCGGGCCGAGTACATCATTTTGGCATTTTTTTTTAAAACAAAGCCTTTGACAGCCTATACGATTTCACATTTTGCAGAATGTCATCGTAATGTGCATTTTAATAAGACTAGGGCCATTTTCTAATCAAGGCATCTACTCGGGCTTCGTCTTCAAGTGTGGCTCCAGAAACTGTTCAAGTCCAACCCAAAATAATGGAAACGTCTTAACCTGTGACCTCAATATTACAGATGTTAATGATCTCAAGCAGAACATGACCTGTACTGACCCAGCTTAACCGAGACAGGGATTCAAAAACGCCTGAAGCCAAGACGGTCAATGAGCCCGAGGTTTTGAAAACACCTGACATACCTGTATTGGCCAGGGCTGTGCCTATCATTGTCGATGTAGTCATCCGCTCCCGCTGGTGTAAACACACTGCACCATACCTTGAATGCAAGAAATTGATAAAGGGTTTTTCATGAAAGTTGTTGCACGATACTTCATTTTTCAAACTTTTATTGTACATTAAAGAAGGATAAGTGCAAAAACTTGAGTTTAGCCAAATTTTGGACGTGTTTTTCATCATATTGGCCTCTGTGGTCATTGTCCAACCTTGTATGAAACCTTTCTGGGAGAGACAATAAATACTTTTTAAGTTCATGATGTTAAAAACTTCAAAATAATTTTGAAGGGACTGGTTTGTAAATAGGAGCGAGAATCAGTTTCTAAATTATAAGGAGCTGAAAATCACCAAAATAATGGGAAGAACAAGAAACTCTGCTTTTTGGATTTATCAATTTTGGGGTTGGGTTTGTGTGTTATGATGAAAAATTGATAATAGACTGAAGCACTAAGCCCCATTGACCAATCACAACCTTGATATATATGCGTGCATTCGCATGTGACACGCCCAGCGTAGCACTGGGCATGCGCACGTGGGCAGGTGGGCGGGGTTGAATGGATCAGTTTTAATTGTATACCTGGGAATATGACAGGAAGAACATCTGCTCTTCGGTGAAGTCAATGCCGGGGAGACGAGGTTGCTTGGGTATGTTGTCCATGTAGGCCTTGATGCAAGAGAATTTTTTGGGGGAAAGAATATTGTACCATACAGTAACGTGACGATATTTAAGAAGAGTGGTTGCAATTAAAGGATTCATCTCGAAAATAATCCCGCAAAAATTCCGCAAAAAAATTTCCCTGAACGTTCATTTTGTGCATTACTCAAGGGAATCTTAACAGGAAAGTTGATGAGTGCCCTAATATTGGTGACCAATATGCCGATAGGGAGAAAAACAAATATCCTTAAATTTCTTAGATTATCAATTAAGAAGATGGCTTCTGAAACAAAATACAATTGCAACGATAAAATTTTAACAATGAATATAATTTTTAACAATGATATGCATGCTGATGATACCTTGTAAGACTCTCTCAGGCCTCCGTTGTCAGCAATGTTTTCAGCCTGCGTCTGGTCCCCGTTCAGCTGTAATGAAAACAATAATAATAAACAAAAGATATTAGATTTTGGAGAATTTGTACATTTACAATGATTCAAACGGTCAACCAGTCATTTCCCTTGTGGTTTTTTTTTTAAAGAAAACGGAAAACCATTGACAAAACATCATCCGATTGCCTGTTTTAAATATTTATGGCGGCCACAATAGAAAGGCGCTGTTAAACAGTAAAACTCAAGAAAAGGCTTAACACAAAACCGAAACCTACGTGTCTGTTGTTTTCCGGCATGACGAATTTGGAGTACTGGTCGACGATACACTGCGCCTTGTCGATGAAATTGTCGATGGACTCTTGACTCCACCAGCTGACTCTATTGCCGTTTTTGTCGTACTTTCTTCCTGTGAAAATTGAATTGGAACTAAGTGTCTTGGAAAGTGCGACCTCCCATCAATCGGTGAGTCATAATGCTTGCAGAATCTGTAACGTCATTTCGTCAACAGTATTCTCATCACAGTTAGGTTTATTTGATTGTCGTCAACCTTACGTACGACTTATAATAACAGCTAAATCTAAGATCAAATAAAAGAAAGTTATATAAAAGAACCGGAAATACCACATTGAACGGATCTTTTTAGTGCATGATAGGGACCTCGATATCTAGTATAAAGTAACCTTTGCACGACATAATAATAGTCTCCTTATGGTTTAAAATACAGACCTTTCTGTAAAAATTAACTCAGAGTTAGCCAATTGTATCATTAATCTTAATTGACTTTAAAGGCTTAAGTTACTGTGGTTGTCAAAACCGTGGGTTATCTCGTGCCCAATGATGACACCGATTCCACCATAATTGGAGTACCTGAAATACAATAAAGAAAACTGGTTTAATTGGTTTAATGAGAAGATTAACCCGACGGTGGGTTGAGAAACTAAAGCTACATGGCGTATATAATTGCTGTGGGTCTTACAGTTTCACTTATTCACTTCATTTTGTAATGGGAAGAATTCAGAAGATTGCAGTGTTTGTTACTTACCAGGGAAGATCATTGTGGTAGAAAGGCGGTTGAAGAGTGACCGCTGGGAATACTATAGATAAAAAAACGGTCGGACGGTCAAGTCGGACTATTGTCGGACGGATAGTACTGGTCACATCCAGCCAATATCTTCTCTTGGTGGGTTACAAGGGTTGGTTTAGTTGGGGGTAATGTATGACTTAATTGTAAGTTTATTTTGGGGGGGTTTCAATGGTTGGCAAACTGAATAAGTGAGAGAGGGAATATAGGCATATGCAATATAGATGGGTTGGTGAATATAATTATGAAGTGTTTCGTTTCTACCCTCTAAAAACATCCGAGTCAGATTGATCCAGAATCCGAGTTCTATTTTGGCTCAACTCTTTTCCTGGTCAAAAATTACACTCTTCATTTTGACGCTCATAAGTGTCATTTTGACCCGGAAAAGTGTCATTTTTCACCCGGAAAAAGGATGATCGAAAAACATGGTTTAGAGTGTATGTGGCATGCTAGACGGGTTGTTTAGTTGTGTTGCTGCAATGATGCCTACAATCCTGGCCAAATCTCGCTGGGCCTCCCGACACCCCGGCCCCGCTCAATGTTGTCTCTCATTGCGCGGTGTGTGCTCCATCAGCTGGAGAGAACAACATTGACCTGGGGAACGGGGGAGTGGGTGACCGTGGCAGGCCCAGGAAGTGTCCCAACCATTTTGGCCGAGATCGTAGGTTGTGTGTTGTTGTGTCTGATGGCCTAGCATAATGATGGCTGATGATTGGTGGCCGATGTGGGTTTGTCGTCTGTGTCCAATTGCTGTATGAAAGAAAGGCATCGATAGCTTACAAATTCCATTTCTGTGTGCCCAGTAGTAAGCATTGAGAACGACTGGCCCAACCGTAGACCACCTAGGAGTAGAACAGAATTCATCGCCGTAAAAATGTACATGTTAAAAAAGGATGTTACCCCCATTGGTACCTTATGAATGTATTGATTGTTTAACATATACATTGGTCGTTATATCTGTGCACAGGTATATGTTACAGATGGAAACAAAACAAACAAACAAACACCCCAACAAACACAAATGGGAAAATATAGAAATAATCGTTTTCTTTTGTTTAAGTATTTCATACCAAGGTCAAAAAATACAGTAGCTCATTAATGAACTGAAAGCCAACGCACAACCCAAGGTAGACTTCGCAATTGTAGAAGACCGCTGGTTCTTTAAAAAGCTACACATAGGTTACTCATAGCGAAAAAGGATCATGAAATTGATATCGTGCATCTCGAAACTTATATATGTGCAACTGGAAACTTATACATGTACATGTTCCTAAAATCAAAACATTCAAAAGCTACTCACATTGAATCATCGTCGTTCACGTCTTCACGTAAGCGAGCCAATTCACCCTGGGATAGCCACTCGCGGTATCTCAGGTTATTCTGGAAATACTCGTCGTCTGTGGCAGTCAGCTTTGGGCAGAGAAAGAGACAATCGCATAACAGTCATCTTTTCTTTTTGGATAAAAGAAGACCTCCTTTTTCTTTGTGATCTTTATACAGTACCACAATGCGATCTACGCACATACTGGAAAGGGTGAGAGTTTGTCAAGCCACGTGGTGACAACGCGAAAGAGTATGTGTATAATATAGGTGTAGCCCTCAATTTGATTAAATAAATAGGGTGATTCCATATAAAAAGGAGAGCAAACAGACTCAAACCACAACTTGCCATCTAGGGACTATAGACTCCAATGAAGTACAATGAAGGCAACCCTCTTCAGGAAACTATGGTCCAATGGTTACGGTGTTCGACTCATGTGCCGTGGTACTTAGGTTCAAACCATGACTTGGAACATGGTGCTTGTGTTCTTGAGCAAGACACTTTACTACAATTGTCCCTCTCCACCCAGGAGTATATGAAAGGGTACCTGTGAAGGTAGAGACCATATTATTGCGCTGATCTCGAGCTGCTGCAGAAAATGATCTCATACCCTGATGAACAGGGATAACAATTGTGAAGCACTTATACCTTTGGTATCAAGCGCTATTATAAGCACCACACATTATTATTTTTATGTAGCTATGATGCCATTGCCATGCAGAGAGAGTGACGCTACAACTTAATCCAAAGTTCGTTTATATTTTGCGAAAACATGCACGATGGCATCTCGGTTACCCTGGCACCGAAGCATACACCTGGGTGAAATTTAAAGAGGTTGTGGAATGCTCGAAGACATTTCCGTCATTTTTCGGGTATATGTAGGCTAAGGTGTGATGAAATAAAAACGACTATTGTTTCTGTCATAAAATGAGTACAAAAGGTAATTTTGAGAGCTGTTTTTCAAGTCCTGTCATGCCTTTTTCGATCCGAACGTGAAATTTGTGTAAAAGTCGTCGTTGCGGGCAGCAAACAAAACACAGTAAATCGTGGCGTAATAAACAGGACTCCCGATGCAGAGTAGCATAAACGAGTCCTGTTTATTACGTCACTATTAACTGTGTTTTGTTTGCTGCCAGCAACGACGACTTTTACACAAATTGCACGTTCGGGTCGAAACAGGACCTGAAAAATAGCTCTCAAAAGTACCCTTTGTGTACTCATTTCATGACAGAAACAATAGTCGTTTTTATTTTATCACACCTTAGGCTACATATATCAAAAAATGACGGAAATGTCTTCGAGCATTCCACAACCTCTTTAACATTATTTTCACCTAAAGCCCGGTTCACACTTCACGCGAAAGCATGTGCGAAGCGAAATTCATGTCGTCAACAATGGTGGACGCGCTTCGAATGTATTGTTGACGTCACGAATTTCGCTCCGCTTTCGCTTTCGCGTTAAGTATGAACCGGGCTTAACACTACCCAATTGCTACATACATCGGCATACTTCGCATCTAGCTTAGCGTTGTCTTTGATCCATTCTGGGTAACCAATTGCAATCTCCATAGCATCTGCCTATGGGGATAATAATAACAAATTCAATGAAAATCTCTACTTTCCATTTCCATAACATTATATCTTTTAATCAAAATAACTAAAGCCAGTAAATATAGGGCCTGAGTTTTATTTCAAAGTGATTTGGGGCTTGTCAGGGTAAATACTTTTGAGAATTCACAGAGAAATGGTTCCGATATATATTTTGCTCGGACCACAGTGACCAAAACGTTTGGTTGGATATTTCTTGTTCTTCTCAAAACTTGACTATTTCTCCTAGGAGAAAGTCACAGCACGGATACCAGTTTGTGGTATGACTCACACGGATCTTACGCTGTGAAACTACTTTAGCATCCTTTTAATGCAAACAAAAGTTGCTGACATTTGCTCTTCGTAACGACCCATTGACCTACGAACGTCACCTTGATTACCTTTGACCTTACCTTTTCAGCCACAACGCCCTTGTCTTCCTCCTGCAGCCAGTCATTCGTGTTTAGCAAGGACTTAAAAGCTGTCTGCAAATTGTGAACCATTTCAAACGCCTACAGGTGGAACACAGATTTTTAAACAAAAGTAGCTCATTTTTCATTACAATTCGTCTACAATTGCTTCCTTCAACGTTAGTTTATTGAATTACTTGATATTTACAAAGGTTTGTATTCGGAATATGCTTTTTCTCGCTTTGAATATAGTGTGTATTTTAGAAACACTGAATACTCAGTGTTGCTCCGAGTGATTCTGAGAAAATCACTCGGGTTGGACTCAAACCCACGACCTCCTGCTTATATTAGCGCTGACCACTCGACCACTGAGCTTGCCGGGGTCGGCTGGCTGGTGCGAATTAGATATAGCAGCCGCTAGCAGCGGGTACCGCAATGAAACTATTCATAAGATAGAATTTGCGTCGGGTTGATGTCAGTTTAGTATTGGGTTTTGCCCTACACACACGTATTTGTATAAACCCTGTATAGAGTTGCTGCCGAGTGAACGTGAGAAAAAGATTATTTACACCGACGCCATTGAATCTACTTTTTGCTCTTTGCTGTCCATACCTTCTGTTTCGTTTCTTCAGTGAAGTGTTCATCCACGTACATCCTACCACTGATATACTGGTATTGGTCTTTGGCGTTGTTGACGCATGTCTTCCAGCAAGCTGTAGGAGACATCGTTTTGTTCACTTCCCCTTGGTATTTCCGCTGGATGGCTAGGAATGTCTCGTTCAGGAAGGGGACCGTCTCACTCACCAGACGCCAAATCATGTAGTTGGCCTTGACCCTGACGGGGAAAGAAAAATCATTCTGAGCTTTCTTCAAAGTTTCCTTCTACAAGATTTGGTTCCAGAAATGATTATTCCTTCCTGGTATGATATCAGATGGGATGTTCCGAAGAATAATGGAGAGCGATAAGTCTCCAAATACGAGAAATACGCAGGAATTGTATCGCAGAATATATTAAGGCTATAATGACGACATCTGTGCGCTCTTCTATAACACACCCCATCCAACCACAATCCAATAGGTCACGGGGCCTGTTTCACATATCGACATAAAATATCGATGCTGCTAAGACTTTACCGCTACAGTCCCATTTAATAGCCCAGCAAGCAGCATTCGGCAAAACAACGACGGTAGTAGGATTTGATGTTAATGGTAAAACATTCAAGTGTAACTTTCAAAGTTCTTTCAATGAATTCTTTCAATGAAATCTAGATTAGGATGGTCCTTTTCCTATATTAATTATTTATCCACCTGTTGTCTTGGTCTTTGAGCCACATGGTAACGTTGCTGATGTAGTCTGGCCTGTAGTTGACGATTGGCTCGTCGTCTGTAACTCCTGGGTCGACACTTGCCGGCAATATTAGTTGATAGAAACGCGTCCAGTTGATCTTGGGAAAAAATTACAGACTTAGCAGACAGTGTTACTGTAAATATGTTGTTGGATGATAATTAGGAATATGGAAATGTGATGATTAATAAATATTTACAAGTTGTCTTGATTTGTATCTTTAAGGAATTATAAGGATCTGACTATATATTAACTGTCTCAAAACTAAAACTATTTGAGAAACTCGTCTTTGTTACGTCTAGGCCCTGAACACGGCTCATATAGCAAGATATTTGTATGAAATGTATCTTTATATTGAAAGCCCGTCAACAACAACAGAAAGTCTGGAAAAGAGACCAACTCTCGAAGCAATAATGTCAAATCTTTACCACATCCATTCCAATTTCCTTGAGAGTGATTTCAATGGGACCATCGTATGGATGCAACGTAGTCAACTGCAGAAAAAAAATAAAACGCAATAATTTTAAAATGTTGTACTTTCTTTACCTTTTATACATTTTGAACATCTACGTAGATATCATTTTTATACTTACGAGAATAGAATATAACAATCTATAAACACCATAACGATTGAGTATATACCACACCCTTAAAATACGTCTATGTAGGCTGCAAGATGTGTAAATTGGATACGGGGGGGGTTTCGAAATAAATAAAGCCAATTTTCAAATCCAATTGCCCTTTACAAAAAAAAAATTGACAAGGAAAGAATCGATGACGAATTTCCACGAATGTTTTACGTTAGCCATATACGATTCGAACTCGATGAGGTTCGTCATATCCTCCTTCGCTACTGTCTCGTCTGCGCCCAGAGCCACGGCAATGTCGATCAGGTACTGGAGGTACGCTTTCCTCTCCTGAAAGAAAATATTGGTGAAACAAATAAATGAAGCAATGAAGACAGTGTCCAAAATGTCAACATATTGGCACAATTTCACTGTGCACTTTGCACTGAATAGTGCGTCGATGACGGGACGCAGGCGTGGCAATTTGGAGGGAACGCCCTCGTAACACTATATCAATGTGCTTGCCAAAGACCAACATGCAAGCATGGGGGCCGTGCCAAACGGAATTTGAAGAAACTTGCCATCCGCCATGATCATTTATGACTATCAAAGAGTTCAACGTGCTCGCAGATAGGCTGCTGTTTGATGCGTATGGAAGGGGAAAAGGGATATTCATTAGGCCTACCTACCTTCGAATAACTCTCATCCAAAAGAATCTTCAACCCCAATTCCTCAGAATCGTCTGGTTCGTCAATCTGGAAGAAGAAATGAAACAAATGAAATTAATGTCGTTATCATAAAGAATGGGGAATACGTAACACTTGTGGCTTGTAGACAAAACTAACTGACGGTTGCACGTAAAATATTAGTCCAAATGAATCAGTCCACTTCATACTTGGATGCGCTCAACCTATGTAACTTGAATGCACTAGATAGCAGAAGAGTAGGACATTGCTTAAAATTTGCTAAAAAAGCACTTGGTGCTAATTCAAGAACAACTCACTTACTCCCCCCTACGAGGCTAGCAAGTCGTGGTAGAAACCTTAGGAACAGTAACCACATATCTCAACTCCCTATTAGAACCAAGCGCTTCCAACAAAGTCCCTTACTTCATTAACATTTTAAACGCCGGCTCTGTGTGATTTTATTGTGCGCAATGGGGGGGGGGGCTGCATGTTGTCCCACCTTTCTTGAATAGTTCTGTCTCCCTGGTTATGTGGTGTTTGTTTACATACAATTGTAATGTATTGCCTGCCTAGTATTTTACTCTTTTTTTTATTGTATTACGCAAGTTTTAATCGCTTTTAGAAATAATTGTTTATAATGTAATTGTGTTTTGGAATTTGGCCCTCCGGGCCACGATTTGAGACAAATAAAAGAAATGAATGAATGCAATGAATGAATGAATAAATGAACAAAACACATCGTTATTCGGCCGGCTTCTTCAAACGTATTTTCAGTCTGCATTGTGTCCGATGCGTATACGGCTTATATTACGTGCTAATGGAAAGACTGCTTCATTTCTATTTTAACAATACAACTAAAAGTCACCACAGCATCTGAAGCAATCTGAGCTCATTTTGATTCGCGTTTTCATTGTTTGGATTGAATCTCTCCGATACAAACACGTCATAGCAAACCGCGGGCTTTTCCTTACTCTCTAAATTCCAAAGAGTGAAATTAGGGACTAGACGTTTTAGAGTGAAAATCACTCTCATTTTCGATTGACATAATCTGAAAAATGAACCACTTCAGTCGAAGCTCGAATGAAACCTTGATCTTTACGATTGAAGAATTTTCACTCTAAAACGTCTAATTTGGGGGGGCTCCAGCCCCCCCCCCCCCCCGTAGAACCGCGCCTGCTGTGGGAGTGAATCTTCACTCGAATGGAGTGAATTTTCACTCTCTAGAATTAAGAGAGTACCAGAGTCTTCACATCTTGCCAGTGCGTCTTCTCGATGCCGACCTTTGGTACCACGAAATACGGAGTGCTCGCCTGATGAGAAAAAAAATATTACAAATAACGTTACAACAAAAATAATGAACACAGGGGGCAGGATGAACCATTTTGCCGTATTGACAGCGTCATCAGTTCTTTACAACCATAAGCTGCAACCCATCCCACACAGGGAAAAGAATTCAGGCTCTTCTTCAGAAGGACTCTACATTCGCCGCTCGACCCCAATTTGCTCTATAACATATAGAGTAAATTGCCATTCTGACCCGGAAGAATACCTGATCAAATCGAGCCCTGAATTCGGGTCGAACTTGACCAGGAAGTTTTAAAGCGTGTGTATCCTATAAGAGCTTACATACAACTTGTACTTGGTCGCGTTGCTTGGATCGGGCCACACCCCCGTGGACACAAACACTATGTTGTATTTGCCCCAGATATCGGCCCAGAGTTTCTCGAAGTCGAAGGTGGTGGCGTTCCAGTTACCGCCGGCAGGGGTAGACCCCAGCACCGGCCAGCCACCCAGCGAAGTCAGCACGTCCGTTAGAGGTTTAGCTCCCAACTCGTTGATGGTGTCTGTTGGTTAATGTTGAAGTCTCAAAATGACTGTCAAACTTATAATCTTTAAATAACTGAATAACTACCGGTATATAGAAATACCTCAGTTCAATCGAAGGGCTGATGCTGCGAAAAAATATCAACTACTAACGACAGACGTCTCAGAAATCTCTGTGTGAGTACAGCCTGGCGTTGATATTAATAGAAGTTGTCATTGGTCTTCTGTTAGTAACAAGTTGTCAAGCAAAAGTCACTCTGTTTTTAAAGACAAAATTCGTAATTTGCATGTGCTTCGTTTCTTATTGAGCCAAACTGCTAATCCATAGATTTCCTTCCTTTGCCTTGTGGATGAGACAACTTACCCATGTCTTCGCAAGACTGGTAGTCGTTCCTTACGATGTGATACGACAAGGGTTCGCCGGCAACGGCACTCCGTTCAAATAGAACTGATAACCAAATGACCAATATGGCAGTTTTAATGACAAATTCTTCAACAGCTTACCCATACAATCAGTTTTAAAAAATGACAATGATAACACTGGATCGGTGACGATATTTACTGATGACGCTACTGTCGATGAGGATGTCTCCAAGTAGAAGACTGACTTATATAGCAACCGTGGGGTCAAACTTTCGACGGTGCTGCCATTGTCGCAATAAATTCTTTATGACGACATTAATGACGTTGGAAAAAGAACCGATAGTGGGATTGATTAAGACATTGATGGCGATGAAAAAGGAGGTGACGATGTCGATGACAGGAAAACAAATGCCCTGATAACGGTGAAAAATGGCGACGGCAATAACCAATATAGTTTCCAAGATCACGGACGATGACCTGCCAATGGCGACGGTGTTAATTTTACGACAATTAATATGCTGACGATAACATTGTCAGTGACAGTGACGAAATCCATGAAAAGGACTATGGCGATGACATGAGTGGCATGGGATACCTTTAAACTTGTCTGTCAAACCGTCTTTCAGTATACTGATGGTAGAATAGCTGGTCCGGTTCAGCGCGGTGTATCGCTGGTTCCAGCCCCCGCAGGCGTACTCGAAGAAATTATCGCAGGGATTCACGCTCTGATTCATATTACTCAGGTATGCATATGCTGTAGAAATAAAGAGAAGACACGATATAAGACGTAGAACGAGTTGAGCTTTTGATTACCGAGTTTCCCATTTCCTTTCATAACTTTGATTATAGGAAACAAAAACCCCATTATTAATACTGATCGGGATTTCGGGATTTTGAAAGTTTTTCTCACTAGTAAAATACATCGTATGGTGAAAACAAGGCCGGTTGATTAGTTCATAATTTTTCGACAATGTGTCATTGCGGTCTCTGAACTGTTAGGCGACAGTTTAAAGGACCTGTAATTGGCGTCGTGTATGTTGTCACCCGTACGACCTGGTCATTCAGATAAAGAGCATGGGCATCAAATCTCTGTCTTACCCGAGTCATAGCATTGCTTCGTCGTGCACGTCTCCCGATCCAGTGGTGTATTTGCCTTCAATTCGTCCAGTTCGGCGGCAATGTCGTTCTTCTGTAGTGCGAAAACAACTGGGGAAAAAAGTAAACAAAATCTTCAATTCTGAAGACGAACGTATACATGTACAGTGAGCTTCTTTTCAGAACCATTCTCTTAGTTGAGAAATTATTCATACAGTCTCCGCAAACGTTCATTCATTTATGAATATTGTTAGGTTTTCTAAACACCCCACCCTGGAAAATGCTCGATCTCTACTCACTTGTGGTGACCGTTAAGGCGATGGTGGTAGCAGCGAAAATTCCCACCAAAATGAGGGGGATCTTGCTAGGCGACTTGGAGGCGACAGAGTCCTCGAGCGCCAGCTGAGCCTTGGAAGCTGTACGGTTGTCCTCCATGGTGGGTTATCCTTAATTGATGTTCGTTGCTCGGCAGAAGTTGAGGAGAGAGGCGTGGTTAGGGTAGTGGTATGGGAGGTATGAGACTCCCAGACGAAGTTTCAACGTGGGAAGACTCGATAAGTGCAGTCCTACAGTCAGTGGGGGAAAGAAATTTGTGAGCTTTCTTTGATAGCTGGTCACGTGATCGCATGTCATCCATGCACCTGCTGTATCTGTTGACAAAATGCGCCGGTGAACTTCAAGGCCTGAGGCATATGTAGTTATACTGCGGTTATTCTATTGGCGGTGGGCCTCGTCCATGTGCTGAAAGTTCCAAACGCTCCTCTCTGGGAGATTATTTCGAGTCCTGTGGGGGAGTTATCAGGGTTAGTGACCTGGGAACTGACAACTTGCACATATGTTTCGGGGGCTGGTACACATTCCCGGGGGGAGGGGGTGTTACCCAAGAACTGTTAACACGGAAGGGTCACCTACATTACATGGGTGAGAATCAAGTAAACAACTCACGGAGACGGATCTATAGGGTAGTAATCCGTGAGATCTTGACTAAGCTGAAAGGCTGGTTCACGGTACGGGCAGCGGGACAAAAGTGGAGACCTTGGAGGAAAGTTCATGTTCAGCGTCAGATATGGATGAGGAGGAAATGTTAACTACAGTATTGGAACGGAAGGTGGTGGTTTTGTGGATTGGGGCCTGGGACCATGGGCGTCGCCAGGATCTTTTCTAGAGGAGGCCAAAGCACATTTCCCCTAAATCCCTGTACTTTCCAGCATATTCTCGATTTATCATTTTTCGAGGCTGTGCAGGGACATTTGCCCCCCACCCACCCATTGAATTAACAGCAATATGACTTTTTGTTTCTTTCTGTTTCTCCCTTTTTTCTCCTTTTTGTTTCTCCCTTTTTTCTCCTTTTTTTTAGTTGGTTGCTTTTCCGGGGAAGCGCTCGATCCCCCCCCCCATGCCTGGGACTTCTACCAATGTTCTTGTTCCTCCTGTTGAGAAGAACATAGGCCCCTTTAAATCTTATTATGGAAATTCTTATTAATCCCTTCTGTGTTTCTCCTCCCAACCCTGCATGCTTGTGAGTCTCTTCATGTTTATTTCTTGTACCTCTGTCCTTGTTAAGAAAACGTCAGGCCGCATTAGGCCTAAATATTTAGATTTGTATATTTCAGATCAATTCAGTGAGAGTTTGCAGCAGTCCTTATCATCTTTTTTTTTTAGAATTATTGTTCAACCAAATACACATTTTTTTATATTATAATTGTAACTCATGACAAGAAATCCCTTTTCTGTGATGTGAACTAGAAATTAAGCCAAATTGCGATTTGCTGAACTGTACAATGTACCTCGGCTCCTGAGACAACCAAACACTGAACTACATGTATATGTTGTATGCTAGCAACCGGGTACATCAGCTGTTTCTAGATGGCGATCAACATCTTGCAAGAACAATTCCCGCTGTGGCTGTGATGTTATTCGATACCGCTGCGTTAAAGGAACCATGGAGCCAGGAGCAACGAACTTATGACCTCGCTACTGGTACTAGAAGATTTACATTCTGGAAAAATGTTGGCGTCAGTATCGATATCTTTGGAGAAATGCCGATTTTAGAATGGTATCAGATGTGTGGGTACGTTGGTGCATGGAGAAAAGAACCTTCCTGGGTTCCTCCATGTTTGGTGTGAAGGTACATAAGTTTGTCTAAAATGCAAGATCTTGACTTGATTGTTATCAGTTAAACCATGGAGGGGAAATGATATAATATAGGAGCCTATTAATGTGTAAATCCATTAATTCATTAAAATTACAACGCTCGTGGACAGTTAGACTTGTATGTACAGCAACTGACATTTTATGAGGAGCCAAAGGCATTCTTTGAAGTTGTATATATTTCTTCCTTCTTGAACTCGAGGTATAGCCTTGAACTTTTCGTGGAAGCATTTGAGCACAGCAGGCCCCGGTACTCGGTCATCACTTCTCGATATATTGAAACAATAGAACAGATTATGAAACCTCGTAGTCATTGGAATAATACCCCAGGCCTCTGGTGACCCTTTTTATGCTGTTTGTTATTTCAAACTAATGAGTTTTTGGGTTGTGCTTAATGTACGTGCTATTTTTAGTAGTTTACTTTGATTGAATATGTATGACTTTAGCTACGAAAGAGGCGAATTTAAATTCAATAATACACTTTTTTAATGACGACTTCAGGTGTTTGAAAAAAATAGAGTTCGGAGTCATGTATCTATAGTGGAACACAAAGGCGCTTTTACAATGACTGCATAATACAAAATAATCAATAATACATATGGGACCTTTAGCTTTACATTGCATGTAAAAACGTAAGTTCGCATAAACCCTGGTAATACTGCATACACAACTAAAAATAATCCTTACAATTATAATGCTACTTATGTAAAAACAGGGGCGGATCCGGGAGTTTTCCAGGGGAGGGGGTTTCATCAGCAAAAAATTGAAATGTAGACAGGGGTTTTTTTCCGGACACTTGGCCTCCGAAAATCAATAGTGGGGGAGGGGGGTGGGGGCTCGTACCATACCATACCATAATGGGTGCGCTGTTCAAATCCGACGATTATTTACCCTATATTACATAAAAGTGTAAAAATAGCACTTAACCAAGCTGGCTCTGTCCGTGTTTTGTGCACAGGCGGACATATTACCAGTATAACTTTTTGGGGTGTCAGAGCGGGGGGGGGGGGGGGGGGGGTTCGGATTATTGTTAAGATATTTCTATGAAGAAAAGAATTGACAGATTTGGGGGTGTGGTTAAGACCCCCCCCCCAACCCCAACCCCCAACCCCCTCCTGGATCCGCGCCTGATACATGACTAAATTGCAAACAGTGTAAACAATTTTTATGGTGAATACAAAATAGGCCTACAACATACATTTTCGAAAAATCTTTTTTCAATTATATTTTTTAAAATGTCATCAGCAAATGATGACATTGACAAGATGACATTGACAAGATTTTTTTTTACATTTTTTTTTACCTCCGGAAGATGTATAATAGACGCCATTTACAGGGTAAAAGAGGATTTGTAAATATTTTAAGGAATATTATATAAAGAATCATTTTTTGCTTTTCATGGATTTTGTTCTCTCCAAACATCACTCAAATTCCACAGAAGAATGTTTAAGCCTAAACGTGTTGACGTTACAGCTCAGTACATGCCCAACAGTTTTGATCACTAAACACGATTTCGTCGATAGCACTCTGTCAAAATAAGTCAATATATTGACTGATCTTTTGGAAAATCACCTACATTTTTTGTCGTTAATGGCAGCAAGCCATGCAGTGTTTAGTACCAGAACGATCTTTAATCCAAGTATAAAGCTTTTTGATAATGTAGATTAGTTCCGGAATAAATACAAATGATCTTAGGCCCTATGCATTTAATTTAATAAAAACAACTTGACAGAAGTACATTTCTAGAATTATTATGTTCCGTTCATACTGTTCATGTTACGAACACGGTTACCAGTGACTGAACCGGAAAAAAATAATAAAGTTTTAACTCAATTAGAAAATCTGTTCAAAGTTAAGTTATCAGTTGATTTTCAATTTTGATGTTTTACAAATAAAGTATATAACATTTACGATGAACACTTCGCCAAAATAGACCCGGTGCGTAGAAGCCATCTTAGATGGCAATGGCTTTGTTTAACTGCAGCAATCTGTTCACCCATTTGTGCATCCCTTGTTATTATACAAATAATGAATGCTTGTGAGTTGCAATGGTAAGAATAATTTCATGAGGTGACAGATGAAAAGTTCCATTCCACGAGGCGAAGCCGAGTGGAATGGAACTTTTTATCTGTCGCCTCATGAAATTATTCTTTCCATTGCACGAACGTGAAACATTCATTATTTGTTTTACATAACACCTGAATAAATCCTTGTCATCTGATTGGTTGACTTTTAATAGCCAATTTAATCAGGTTAAAAACTGTTTAAAAGTTCGACAAGTTCATCATATTTATGTTAATGCAAACTGTTCAACAGGTTCAGAACAATCATATTCAATTTATCTCGATTTAAAACAGCGCCACCACCAGCAGCAGTGACACCGTGCAAATGAAGTTGCAATTCACCGTGCAATAGAACTTCCATTGCACTGTGCGCTGCGCGCCACGCGCGCGCCCTGCGTTGGTACGAATAATTCAATGACATGTGATCAACGATCCACCAATCAGATGACGGGGATTTATTCAGGTGTTGTATAAAACAAAATAATGATGCCCTCTAAGATGGCCGCTACACATACGGTCTATTATTGGAGGAAGTTAGTACCAGACTTTGCATTTGAGGTCCGGGTTCATGTAGCTTCCAGCCGGACAGTTGAACGCAGCGTTGAACGCCTCGTTGTTCTGAAGCGCACCGATGACTCTGTGCGAACGAGAACGATAAAGCGAGATGGAGTTATCATTTTTGGGAAATGTATATTATAGAAATGATATTATAGAAATTATTATAGAAATAGTTGATTACGTTTACTTAAAACGCTAGAATTGGTAAATTAGGAAATATAGTTAGAGCTCTTTTTTCATTTAGTAACTATAAGTGCTACCACGTATGTCGTTTTTGTTTTCGCATGCCCATATTTACAAACCGTTTGTTGTTTGATTTGTCAAAATTACTTTATTTTCTCCTTTCTTCAACTTTTAAATCTGAGAGTGTTCTCGCAGAATACTGTTTAAAGCTTTACCAGTTGAGCGCTTTCTTTCAATATTCTGATTTATTACGTCAAATAGCACAAGCAGTTTTCTCTGACAAGCTTATTGAATGGGATTGTTTTTAAAATCTGGTCATGTTCTGAATCATACTGACACATAATTTCTTGATTTAGACATGTATAAATCCTTGAATTTAGAGAGCCGAGTACATTATTTGGGCAAATGTGTAAAAACGAAGCCTGTTATAGATATATCATTTCACATTTTGCAGAGTGTGGCGCAATTTCATCGTAATGTGCATTGGATCAGACATGGGACATGAATCTTCTTCAAGTGTGGCTCCAGAAACGTTTCAAGTCCGACACAAATGGAAACATATTAACCTGTGATCTCTATAATAGATTTTAATGATCACAAGCAGAAGATGACATGTATTGACCCAGAGTTCCCGAGAGAGGAATTTAAAATCGTCTAAAGCAAAGACGGACAATGAGCCCGAGGTTTTAAAAAATCACCCGACATACCTGTATCGGCCAGGACTGTGCACATTATTGTCGATGTAGTCATCCACTCCCGCTGGTGTGAACACACTGCACCAAAGCTTGA